CGACAGAAAAGAAAAAGGGCTTCTTCCAAACTTTAAATACTTTAGTGTCTGTCTTCCGATGCTCTATCTGTGTCCCAAGAGGATCCAGACATCTCTTTGACAAACTAGACACAGAGCAGCATCCATAGCCTTTCTGAACTTCATGCTGTCGTCTCCTTTGTCAGGCCTCTTCAGTTAAAAAAGATAAAAAGCTCAAAGTTCTATTTGAAAATAAAGAAAGTCTGAAGCTTTATTCTAGATTGATTTTATCCTAGGAGTTGAAAAATAGAATCTTTGCTAAGGAATTCTTTATAATTACTTGGAAATACTTCTGGTAATCTAGATACTTAAACTAAAGTTTGGAAATATCTCAAAAGAAAATACATTTCTCATAGGGGTATTTTAAAGAAACAAAACACATTTGTACCCCCCCCAAAAAAAATTTTTTTTAATAAATAAATAAAAAACAGAGAAAGAGTGATATGATTTAAGAACAACTGTCCTGTCAATTAGAAAATGTACATTTTTCACTTCATGGATTCATTAACTACTCATGCTCTTTAAAGACAATTGTATACCACCTATATAAATAATGCAACTATAACAAATAGGTGGCAATGAGACTGTGGGCATGCCATTTGACCTCTTTGCTTCTCTATTTTTTTAATATGTAAAGTAAAGGAGTTGAAATAGATGATAGCAGTGTTTCTTTCCAGCTTTTCAAACTCCAAAGGATCTAGCAAGACTTAACTTCTTTTCTTAAAAGCTGCCATAAATTTGGAGCAATAGGGATGTAGGTAACAGGGCTTAGGAGAAAATAAGGATGGAAATTATGGTTTAAAAGGAATCTCTCTTATCCTAAAGCATAGGAACATCCATCAGGCTACTGGGAAAGGCTGTGTGGGATGGAGGGATATAGAGTTTCTTGCAGTGCTTTAGTACAAGACATGAGTGCAATTTATGTCGGGAAATGAAACAAGAAACAAAATTTTCACTGTATATTAAATCCCACAGGGAATCCTATTCTTGAAAATAAAACAAAATAAAAAGCCCCTTGGAACAGGCCCCAGACCGGCTGACATGTTGGGCCTTGTAGGATGAGGCTGCTTTGCTTCTGAAGAGGTAGACATCTCTCTGAAAAGAATTCATTTATTCTTTTAAGAAACAGGAGATACAAAGTTTACAGGGTCCTTCTTTTGCATCTCAAAACAAACAACCTCTTCTGACACAGGCCAGCTTGCTCCCAGATTGCATGTGCACATATAGTAATTTGGGTACTTTTTCTGGAGATCATGTCCCTCCTCTACAACTTTGTGATTAATCAATAATTGAGGGACTCCTCTTGCACAGTTTGTCTCAGAAGACACACATCACAGATGCCACAGATCATGTCTACAATTTACTCAATACTTAGGGGCTTAAAGTATTTTTTAAAAACAATTGTGTTTCAGTGTATTCTACATGTCAGTTCTGAAAGTCGACATCTTGACACTACAAAGTTTTTAAAAGATGATTTATGGTGGACAAGCAAAATTTCTCATCACATCAAATTTATCAATATACTTACAATACAAAAGCCTCAGTGTTTCAGTAAAAGATGATGTAATGAGTCCAATAAAAAGGAACTCGAATGCATTTTCTTTCTTATGTATTTATAAGCATCTGTTCTAGCATCTGCCTCCTAAAACTGTTGCTTATTTTGTTTCAGCTTTAACCCTTAGACATAGTGAGAGAATGATCTGGCTTGGAATGTTCATTAGTTTAACAGCAGGAGTCAAGTTAATCTCTTTCACACCTCGTATTAGACTTACTTTACTCCATATTTAAGGTATTTTAAAAAGCTCTCTTGGAGAGAGCACTGTTGACCTAGAACTTGGGGTCTCTTGGGGGCATAAACCAGTACAGGACTCAGACTGAGAATGAGTTTGCCACATTTTTTCTGAATCAAAAGGCAGCTGTCTTCCAGAGTAACCTTGGGAAAGTACTTTTTTTTTTTTCATCCTGGCATCAGATATAAACGGTAGAGGGCAGCTGTCCTCGTTATAAATATCTTGTAAGGTAGGCAAAACACTGTACTGTAACTCCTGTAGCCAGACAGCCAGGACAGAGACAGCTTATGTGACCTTTCCAGAATATTCTGTTCACCCCAAGAAGCCCTGAGTAATTAAAACAGTGTTAGCACTTCACACAGGAGGGATCGGTTTACTCTGAATAGCCCAAAGCCTTTTCTCTCTTGTGATGGTACTCTTGATCTGGACAAGGGAGGGGTGGAGACAGAGACCCAGTGAGGGGAGGTTGAACAAGGAGCAGTAATTGGAGAAGGAAAAACAAAAATAGAGTGGGGACTGGGGAGAAAAGAAAGAAGAGCAGGCTTTGGGAGGCTCTGTGGCCCTGGCTGGCGGTCCAGGGCGGGCGGCTATTTCAGTCTGTTCCCATTATAGACATGGATTCTAGTGCTGCCCTGAGGAAGGGTGGAAACTGGAGTTGACAACCACGCTTCATGTCATGTTCTTTCTCAGGAATCTACAGCAACTCCCACACTTTATTTTGCCTCTGATGTTCAGCTTCACTTTATCCTTCCCACGTGAGCTCCAGCTATGCCTCCTACCATGTTCTCTAGTTAGACTGTAAACCTAACCTCCTTTTCCTTATGCTTTGGTTTTACCTCCTCTCTTCCTTTGCACATACCTGAAACACCTCCATCTCTTAGGTCAAAATATTTTTTTTCCATAATGATAACTTGCATAGGCATAAAGCTTTATACCAAACACTTAAACATGGACTGTCATATCCGAGCCATAGTCCTCCACAATTCCTTGCCTGTCTTAGCCTACATCCATCTTTCCCATATTCTATCTCCTAAAGCATTTGTTCACTGACCTGATTCTACTAGAATCAACCTCTAGGGATGGGAGGCTGTAGTAATCTACATTTCCACCAAGCTCCCTGGGAGAAACCCAGGAGTGACCTAAGGAAGCAGAATTTTGACGGTTGCCATTTACTTGCTATTTTTCCGTATTGTTTCTACAATTTTTTTTTTTTTACCATGACAATGTACAACTTGTAAAATAAAAATTAGTTTGTGGAGAGATATATATAATTCCCAGATGATTCTAATGATATGACAGCCATAGATCCATCTTACTCATTTGAACCATGATTCAAGCACATACCTTTTTTTTAGCTCTTCAACAAGGTAGAGAGGTACTCAAGAGCAAGAACTAGCCCCCTGCTTTTTCTCTCTCTCCAGGGCTAGAAATGCCAGGCTCAAAGCAGGTGCTCAGTAAATATGTGAATGGGTTTGATTTGACCCCCCAATAAAATAAGAAAAAATTAATAAGGACATACATGGCATGGTGCATTTGAAGGGGGGCGGGGGAGAAAAAGGTATAATTAGTGGGTTAAGGAACTATGTATTGTTAAGACGCCAAAAATACTCAGGTGGCTTAATCAACCACAGGATGACCACACATCAGGATCAGTGTTTTGCTTTAGATCTAGAAGCAAAGGATCTTGGAAGGCATCACTCAACTTTTAGCACATAGAAACCCACGAGGTGGTTTGCTCTTTTTCATCGGACTCATTCTTGAAGCAATGTGTTCAATTATAATTCTACAGCAAAAGAAGAAATTTGAGTAGTTGGAGAAAGATTAGAAATGAATCAAAACTCTCCTACATTCCTGATGGGAATGTAAAATGATGCAGCCACTTTGAGAAATAGTCTCACCGTTCTTCAAAAAGTTAAACACAGAGTTAGCTTATCACCCAGCAAATCCACTCCTAGGAATAGGCACAAGAATTGAACATACATATCCATACAGAAATGTGCAGAAATGTTCATAGCAGCATTCTTCACACTAGCCAATGAATAAACTGGATAGCCAATGAATAAACAAAACATGGTATAGCCAAACAATGGAATATTATTTAGCCATACAGAGGAAAGAAATACTGAGCATGTACAATATAAATTAACTTACCTTGAAGACATGCTAGTGAAAGAAACCGGACACAAACGGTTGCATATTCTACAACTTCATTTGTATGAAATATCCAGAATTTGCAAATCCATGGAGACAGAAAGCGAATTAGAGATTGCTAGGGGCTGCAAGGAAGGGGGATGTGACTGCTAGTAGATATAGAATTCTGAATTCAGGAATTAGTGGTGATAATTGCACAAGTCTGTGAATATAATAAAAGACCTGAATTGTATACTTTAAATGTTTTAAAATTGATTTTTAGAAAGGGAGGGAGAGCGAGAGCCAGAGCCAGAGCCAGAGCCAGAGCGAGAGCGAGAGCGAGAGCGAGAGCGAGAGCGAGAGCGAGAGAGAGAGAGAGAGAGAGAGAGACTGGTTATCCATCTTCTATATGTGCCCTGACTAGGTATGAATCCATGACCTCTGGTACATGGAATGATGCTCCACCCAACTCTGCCACAGTGGCCAGGGCCTGAATTATAGAATTTAAAAAGGTAAATGTTATGGTATGCAAATTATATTGCAATAAAGCTATTTTCTTTAAGTAAAAGAAGAAAATCAAGGGAACATGGGGAAGGAGAAATCTAGGCAGCAGAATCCCCAAAGAATTTTTTTTTTTTTTTTTTTTTTTTTAAAAAGAAAGAAAGAAAGCAATTTTACTAAAGGCTGCCTTTTTAGGCATAATTATCTTTTTAATTTTTTTATTTAAAAAATGATGGCTAGCTGAGGAGAAAATTAAAAGACATAGATTATAAATACAACCTGAGGGGTTTAGTTTAAACACAGGTTTTTCTCACCAAGGGAAGTCAGAATAAGAGGTTTTTACATCTCTCTTTTTGGTGGAATTAAATAGTGCTTAAATAGGTTTTATAGGTTCAAGACCATTTGTCGGAGCCTTTCCTGAAAGGGCAGAAGGATGAATCCAATGACCTTTCATGGTCTTTGCTTTTCCTCTCACTCTCAGAACACTCAGACACTCAGCATTGGATATACCACATGGCCTCCAGGCACGTAGTCTCAGAGAAATAAAAGAAGAGACACTTCTGTGCCTTGAAGAGTTTTATTTGGTTTCTATATTCAGTCATAAACACACAGTTCTCTTGAGACTGTAAAAGTCTCCTCCTCTAAACACTTAACTTTTTATTTAAAAAAAGCACACACACACATTAAAAAAAACAAAACACAATAATACAACTTGAAGCTTCCCTTCTAGCTTATTATTTCAGTTGTTTGTATAAAGAAAGTAAATTCAGGTTATGTATAGCTACCTCTATACTTGCTATTTATATGAATATATAGAATGTACCTGGCCTGGTAAATAGTTTTAAACCTCTATAAGCCTTTGAACTCAGTTTTATTTTAAAAATAAAATATCATCCTCAATATTTTCTCAGGATGGAACCAGGTCTTCTCAGCCCTCCCATGGCTTGCCCATACTCCTTGCTTTAGGCAAAAACAAGTACCTGCCTTTGGTCCACTCAGCATAATCTTCCTCACTCTCTGCCTGGGACCCAGATGTCCATGAAAATAAAATAATGTGAGGGGCATGATTAAAGCAAGGAAGTCTCTCTCTTCTTGGCCCTGTCACCAGATTCAGGTCCGACCTTTCCTAGTCTTTAGTCTCTAATCAGGTCAGATAGTGCTTCATTTTATGGCAAAGTTCATGTCGGCATCGATGCTCTTGGTTTCATCATCCCACATTTTTCAACATTCATTCAGGGAGTAAACACAGAAATTGAAACCTTTGTATTTTGGGTTAGTAATATAAGTCTCCATTTCCAATATGCTCAAATATCTTAACCCAACAGCATGTTGACTGAGCTGTGGTCTTAAGACCAGATGTCACTAAAACTTGATTATTTGCTGAGAACATTGACGATAGAGAGTTTCTTGCCAAGACACGAAGCAGTTCTCCTCCTCCGTAGGGGGTCCTGCTCCCGCCCTGCTAAGCCAGGGCATGGTCAAACTGCCCTTTCTCCAGGCCTTCTAGTCCGTCAGCCCAGGTCGAGGTTGGCATGCTCCGATACGGGTCCAAAAGAATCCGGAAGCACCTGACGATGAGGACGCCCAAGAAAATAAATAGCAGAATCACAAAAGCAAATGTGGTTTTCTGCTCCAGAGACATGCTAGCATCTGACAACGTGTTCCCAAAGGACACTGGGGGCGAAGGGGCAGGCTGCCCTCCATCCATGGTCCAGGGAAACCCGAGTGCAGGATCGCCCAGCGTCCTCTCCTTCCATCGTCAGTCTGCTGAGAGCATGGTGTTTGCACCTGGGAGAGGCTGAGTTCTCTGCAGGAAAAAAAGAAAGAGAGGAAAAAGGAAATAGATAACAAATTATTTCTAGGCCCTAGGCGCTATCCTCTGTCCTCAACTTTATTGCTAAGTAAGTGTGGGACCTTGGAGAGGTCACCAAACTGTGAGGATGGAAGAAGTGCCTGTGTGTCTCCAGTTGCTATAATGAGGATGAATGCCTCTGAAAAGCACACAGAGAAGAACAGCAAAGTGTTGCTTCACTGAGGACATGACTAAGAGCTGCGGTGCTTCTTCACTTTCTCTTGCCTGAGCCAAGAGAGAAAGGAGGCACCTCACACTTCCAAACCATCTCGCTCCTGCTGCTGCTTTTTCTCTAGAAAGCCCAGGCCAGGCTCAGTACCCGACCCTGGGAAGCACTCAGAGAACTGAGCTAGGAAAAAGGAATTGATTGACTCCATTCTTGTTAAAGCTTACGGTGGCTTCCTACTGTGTAAGGCCATTAGGTGGAGAGAAGAGAGTAGGACATTTTACTGGTGGGGGGAAAAATTAAGAATTATGGGTATTACTGTTCGTCTTGCAAGACAAATTGAAGTGTACACAAGGACCGCCAAAAGCTCCAGATATTGAACTCAATCTATTTAACTCTAATTGTGTAAAGAAGAGCATCTCTATTACACACTACTCTATAGAAAAATCATATGATGCATTGATTTATAAATCTGTCTATTGGAAAAATTGTATAGCAGAGTAGTCAGGTATGAAAATTAACATGGATTAAAAAAATTATGCTCAATGAAAAGAAGCAACCAAATAGAACTAGAAATTATGGCCTAAGGCATTAATGCAATATTTCTTTAGCTAAGTTATAATCATTACATTGAAGTATGGCAGTAGTTATCACGGCAGTTTGCATGAATGTTGACACTTCACAGTTAATAAAATCACAGTTTTAAAAACCAGTTTATAAAGGGAATGACAAGCAGTACGTGGGAGGAAGGAGTTACCAGTTTGGGGGGAAAGACTATTTTGCAGTTCCATGACTGAATTTTTTTTTTTTTAATTCAGACTGAAATAGTTACAATGGATTCACTTATGCTTCATTTTTAGTTTGAAATAAGACTGAGATAAAATTTGACTGTATTTTTAAAAAATAAGCTCCTTAGGACTATTGAGGATATTCATGGGTTGGGCTTGGTTTTGGTTTGCTTGGGTGCTAATCCCTAGGTAACTGAGGCTGTGGGGAGGGGGCAGGAAATGTGGCCAGCGCCTCCCAGGCAGCTCCCCTTACTGCTTCTGCCTGGGCCACCTGTCCTCTCCCCAAGTGCCCAGGCTGGACTTACTCAGACCAAGCGTAACGTTCTCCCAGGGCTGGGTCGAGAGAAAGCCATGTCATGGCAGAAGAATAGATGTCCTAGCCACGTTCCCTCTCGCCTTTCCATGTCCTTCTGAGGATCCTTGTACTTCCATCCCTGCCCTCCCGCCCACCTACTAGGACCCAGTCTGGGTTCGTTTTCCCAAATGAGGGCAGAGACCTTCTTTGTCTATTCTCAATACAGGTTTGCATTTTCAGAAAACCCTTATGAAAACACTCCATAAATAAAAAAGAAAATATAGAAAAAAAAAATAAAGATCATTAACTGTGTACATCAGGGGTTGGGAACCTATTTCCTGCCAAGGGCCATTTGGATATTTATATCATTCATGGGCCATACAGAATTATCAACTTAAAAATTAACTTGTTGCATTTGGTCAAACATTTAATTAACTCACCCCTAACGCCTTGGCAGGGCCAGACCAAATGATTTCATGGGCCTTATACGGCCTGCTGGCTGGATGTTCCCCACCCCTGGATAAATGTACAAAATATATTCCCAGATTTGTGGAATTCAAAGTAAAGAATGGGGCATAGGGCCTTCTGGGCCTGTGATAATTACTCCCGATCCATGGGCTGGCTGACAAGGATAGCGATACCTTATGCAGCCCCTCTCTTCCCACCCCTCACCTCCACCTGTTAAGAGCCATGTTGACACCCAGGTGCAGTTTTCCCCAAGCGTTGTCCTTAGTACGACGCAAATTCTTTTCTCCTATTGCAACATCTCATACTTCCCAGGCTTCTCCCACAATTCCGGTTTTAGAGCTGATGCGCTATTCATTTGGGGGCTTCGGTGATGGACCACCATCCCAGGAAGCACCAGCAAATAACCTCGTCATCTGATTCTGATGAGAATGATTTAAAAAATCAGTTTTAATTTGCAGTTTTACCACCTTATTCTGATTGAAAGGCTGATGCAAGGATATGCTTAACTCTTCGCAGCCAGACTATGTGTCCTGACGATTCCATAATTCTTTATACATTACAAGCCTCTTCCCTTCCAGGAAACTGCGGCGCCCAAGTTCCTTTTAAAATTACTTCATTCGGTCAAACCACTAAAGGGTATCAGATTGTAATAGTTTACCGAGGAAAGTGACACATTAGCACAGTAGGGATTGGTCTGTGAAAACCTGAAGGATGGGGAAATGGGTGACAGAAAGGGGATGGAAGATCTTGCTGGGAGTGGAGCTGCTAGAGAGGGCTGGGGGGGAGCGGGTGGCCCAGCTGCAGAGCCCCGGGGAGGATGGAGATGACGGGTACAGATGGGAAAATAGGAAACGGTTTAAAGGGATTTAAGGACACAGAGATCCGGAAAGAAATGCCAGCTATTTCATAGTGTTGCCCAGGTCTGATTGAAATCCTTTGGAAGAGGCTGCTTTTCTTTCCAAAATCCCAAAACCAGCTAATCAATAATGTACAAGTACGGAAAGTTCAACAGCATGTTTTAAGTTAAAGGAAACATCATCAGATATAATAAGATGCACAGAAAGAATTACATGTAGTCACAATACAAAAACATTTTTTTTTTAAAAAACGTGCACTTTAAAAAACGTCCATCTTGGACTAAAATATCCCTTTTCGGTACAAATGGTTCTTAGGAAGTGTTCACAATTGCTTTTCACAGAATAATGAAATCTCCTTTTAGATAAATAGTGGAATCTGGGCAAGTAAATTACTGCCGAAGATCCTGACGCAGCCTTCCTGTGTTAATAATAACAAAGGCAGTTATTTCAGGATAAGCAGGAGCGGTTACTTGCAGCAGCACTTTAATCCTGACTGGCTTCCCCCTCCCACAGTGCCTTCGTGTCTTCCCTTTGCTAATCCGTCTGTGTGTGCTCGGGAAATAATGTCTAGTTTTAATATGGGGCCAAGGAAACCTTAATTAAAACATGCCATTAAAAAAATCCTATAATATATCTCTTTTTCTCAAGCCAGGCTTCCCGGACCCTGATATTCACAAAGTGTAAAAATACCTTCAATTACTTACGAAGACCCTGTGAGCAGTCCACTTAGCCGCAGCTGTTCTCTCCATTACCCACGCACTTAAGGGTGATTTGCAAAGAGGCTCTCTCCTTCCCATCCTTCCTCCGTCCCCACATCAGGATTTATCTTTCTGTGCTCGGATCTTACCTCTCCTCCCTTCGGAAAGCCTCTGTCCTCCAATGGCCAAGACCCTAATTCACCCATTATAACCCCCTTTTGGACCTGATACCCCTGTTTTTTGGATCACAATCAGGTCACATTCTGATTCTAAGATATTAATTTATTTTCACAATAAAAAAAAGGAGCCAACATCAAATCACATTGGCTTTGGGTGAAATGACCAATGTGTTGATAAGAACAAACCGACATGTAATTGAATCTGCAGACACCTGGGGAGAGAGCCTCAGTGGCCCACTCTGCAGCTTCTCCAGCACCTGCTGTGGCTGGAGCCCCTTCGTTTCCCACCTTCAGGTGAGCTTCCAGTCGAGATGCTCTCCTCCTTGCCCTCTTCCCACCTGCGGTCTCTCCTCTTCCACCCCAAACACCACCTCCTCAGTGGGACCCACATCTGGCCCTTCACCTCCAGGAGCACTTCACCCGCGTCTCTGCAGCAGCACCTGCTACAGGACAAGTCTCCCCGGGGTTCACCTCCTTCCCCTTCGTCCAAAGCAGGCCCCTTGAGGAACCCTTGCTGCTCTTTGCCTCTTTCAGTAAAGGCTGACTCAAATCTTAAGCCCCGGACAGTCCAGGGGACTGGATTCAAACTTCAGGGTCCGGCTGGCACAGGCAGGGGGTAAAAGTGAGATGTCAGAGGTTGTTTCCAAGAATCACAGGTAGTCTGAGCCACAATGGCACTTTCATAGTCACAGATCTCATGGTTTGAAAAGCAGTTGTTCAGCCCTTTAGATTGTCCTTGGCCTCAGTGCTGATCGGTGGGGTCTGGAATATCGAAATCGACTGGAGATAAGCAGTTTCCCTCTATGTAAGGGGTCAGCCCTTTCCACCCTGCTCTGCTTTTCTGGTCTGGAAGGGCAGCCATTTTAAAATACTCGAGTGCAAATGTCTTACATGGAAACTGTAAATGTCAACATGTACCTTCTCCAGCTTGGGTCCTTCCTTTGGCCATTTCATTTCATTAGCATCTCAAGAAACAATCTCACAGTAAGGAGACATGCGTTATCTGAAGAAAACACATCCTTAAAGCAGTGACATGTTTCTTTTCATTTTTGAAGTGACAGCAGTAGAATCGTTAAGTGCATTTGGCAGACACACTGGCATTTCATTCCGCCATCTCACTTTTGTGGTCATCGGCCCGAGTGCCAGCCCTCCTGCAGTCGGTTGCAATAATAGTTGCGGGAGATGCAACGCATGTGCAGTCCTGCCTGGCATACTGAGTGATCCATAACCCGGGGAAGACAAATGAATGTAGTCTCTTTAGACCATTATTGTGCAAAATAAGATTTATTTATGACTTCTGTTATGCAAGTAAGTAAGCACACAAAGCAAGAGAGATTCTAAGTCAGTTGCCCCACATAAAAAGAAATATCCGTTACCAAGAAAGCAGCATCCGCCTAAGGATGGTGGGTCACAAGTTTCTCTGTGGCACGTTGGAGCGAATAGAAAGTCATCTCTCAGGCCGCTAACAGCATGCATTCAAGTACTCCTCAACCACATAATTGCTGTTCCTGATTTTTTAAAACTTCTAGGCCAGAAACCCAGTTATGTGACTTGACATGTTTTCAAAAGTAGGTGTAAAAACAGTTCGCCCATTGAGCAAGAACACTCGCAGGCTTGTCCGGTTTACTTTCCCATGTGACAGACAGGACGCTTTGTCCTGCAAAGACACCCTGGGTGCCTCAGTTATGTTTACCCAGCCGACTAGCGAGCCCAGGTCTTGGGCTGCTGCAGGCAGGGAACTGACTAGGTGAGCAGGACTGAATTTGCAACAACTGGCAGAGACAGCCTTTACTCAAAATGCAGCATTATTCCGCCACGGCTCTGAAGCTCACTGTTGAAATGTTAACATTTCGATGATGAAAATAATACATGTCCTGAGACTGATGCTCAATAGAGTTGTTCTCTACGTTCAGAGCTAAAAGAAGCCTCGGCTGCATTGCCGTTTACATAACTGGCGCCTCAGGAGGTCCACCCCCTCCAGTCCCCGCCACAAGACATGTGAACATCCCAGGCAAGGCTATTGTGCCTCTTTCCCCACAGTTGTGAGCTCTCCACAAAATCCACCTCATCATCATCTAAGCGATCAAATCACTTCGAAGCAAATGAATCTTGTGGACACCTATGACTCTGGCAGCAATTCTGTGTGTGAGCCCTGTGAATAGTAACTTGCATTCCAGGAGATGCACACAATTGTTTCCTATACATTCATGCAATGTGTGGCCCTCTTGGTGACCAGCCAAGAACTTCCGGGAAAGATTTCCTGCCTCTTTCCAGGTACTTCGTGCATTTTAACCACCCCCTCCTTTTTTTTTTTTTTTTTTTTTTTTTGACTCACATAAATACACGGCAACTTCCCTATTCCTCTTTTTCCAAATACAGCTCCCCTGTTCCATTACAATAGCCCTGGTGCTTTAGAATTCACAGGACGGCTAAGAGTGAACGTTAGTTTACACACTCCGATCATAGACCCCCAGGCTACTAGGAAGCCCGCAAACGGTGACTTGAAAGGCATGTGAATGTGGTCAGCTACAGATGTCAACAGGCAGTTTGGGAACTGTTGGCAGCCCCCGCTGCAGGGGAGGTCTAGTCCCTCCTGCCCGCCGGCCGGGCGCCTCTGCAAAGTCAGCCCGCAGGCAGGTCGGCTTGGGTTTGGGAGTGGACCCTGCCAGCTCTGAGTCCGCAGGAGACCTTTCTCTTCAGCCTGAGCCCTAACCTCAGCTTACCTTCTTCCCTATCTTCCTCTTCTTCCTACCATCTGCTTGAAGAGTCTTAAAGGGACAGAAGGGCAGCCGGCAGCCTCGCTGAGAACATCAGGAAAATACCACCTAGTCTCGGTCAGTAACTGGGGGTAGCAAAGGGCACCCTTAGCAAACTGGAACTTTTAACACGTGACCATGCTACCCAGTTTTCCCTACGTGCTGACTCTGGAAGGGCTGAGGCTCATCACCCGGGGACCCCAGGGACAGTCAGCACTGCCATTACGCGTGGTTGAGTTGCAAACCTTTGTCAACAAATTAAAACATCCCCATGACATTTTGGAAGACAGGATATTTTAGGTAAAGGGGGGGAAAATACTGTCGTGGCCAAATAGCTTTCAAGAATAATTTACTGCAGCTTAACCAAGAAATATGTCTATTTTACTGCTCCTTTACCCAGTGTCAGTAGCATTATAAACTTAAAGCATGCTTTAAAAATAAAGGCGTCGTTACATTTCGCCGCCTCCCCCACATTAACTTCACCTCGCAGCTGTTTAATTACACTTTATCTGACAGCGAGCTCTGAATTCAGAACTGAGATCCAAAAGGCATCGATGCAATTCTTGCCCATGCACAAAGTTAGAGAGAAACGTTCAACTAGCCTGTCACAGACACGGTTTCGGTCAGGTACCTGAGTCTGGCTGAACAAACACTCGGTCCATTTCCTGGTGGAACAGTTACAGGTAGTTACAAGCTTCTTTGGTGTCCATTCTCCCCGACCCGGCTGTGTGAAAGCAGGAGACAGTGGGAGCCGCACGCAGCTGGCGGCACACCCCAGATCTAACGCGGTTGTTTCAGGCTTAGAAACTTCCCATTCAAAGCCTCGAGTTAAAGGAGCATCGTCTTTTTGAGTGAGGCATCATTAGCGGCCACCACGGCTGCTCCTCGGAGGCGAGCCATGATTTCAGTTCTGCCTCAGCAACTCCTCCGAGGATTCTGCTTCAGTGAGTAGAGGCAGTATCCTAGCAGTGTGTCTGAAATCATCCCCAAGAAAGCATTAACATTCAGAAGGAGTGCAGGGGTGGAGGGGGAGCATCACAGGGCATTCCCATCCCTTTTTCAAAATCAAAGCCATAAATCTACCAGGGTCCTGCTCTTCCCTATTGATTGTGGACACTCTCCCTCTTTGGGGATGTCAGTGAGCAAGCACCTTGCAGCCACCAGCCTCCATATTGATTATGGTTTACTGGTATGACCTTCAGGCCAACTTAATTAATGGGAAGACTTCTAGGGGAGGGCACAACTTAGCATTTGGGAGATAGAAAAAAAAAGGGAAAAAAAAGTCTCCTTTTCCTAAAGGAAACAAAACTGACCTTTCAGGAAAAGCAGCAATTACGGGAAGCAACAAGAACAACTTAAAAAGAACAAAATCATATTTTCACCACCTGTTTATAAATTTTCCAGGCTGCAGGGTGCCTGTCGAGTGTTTCCTTGGGTCAGCCTGCATAATTGTGACCTTGGCAGGTTCCTCACCCCACCCAGGCTGTCTGAGACCACTCGATGAATAAAGATAGACCTTTGTTGAGAGAAAGTTGTTCCATTTCTGCAGATAGTAGTTACATGGTGCAATACTTAAACTATTTTCCTTGGATAGAGTACCTAAGTAAATTTAGGAAATGTTTTAGGATGAAACTTATCTTTTTATAAAAAAGTGGTCCCCCTAGAAAGAATTCAGCATAATCCTAAAGTTGGAACATCCTTGTTTTTTGGCAATTCACCACTTTCTTTGTTGAGGTGGAAGTGTGGTTCGCAACAACACCCACCCACCAAATGGGGGGGTGCATGATACTTAAAGCTAACTCTGTGCCTGTGGCTCTGCTGCCTCTTCAGCTGGTGCGAGAGAAGCCATTACCCAGCAGCCTTAGGGGACTGGGACACAGCTCATTTTCTAAGAGGAAACCCCCTTGTGCTGGCAACAGAAAACAGTCCTAGACAGGCCTCAAACCCAAGGAAATTCAAATACTGAATGTTAGGCTTTAAAGTCAGAATCTAATGCTTGACATTAGACCCTAACCTCAAAAGGACATGAAGGTCTTTTCCACATTTATGTTTTCTGGATTTTAAATATATATATATTTCAGAGAGGAAGGGAGAGGGAGAGAGAGTTAGAAACATCAATGATGAGAATCATTGATTAGCTGCCTCCTGCACGTCCCACACTGGGGATTGAGCTGCAAGCTGGGCATGCGCTCTGACTGGGAAGTAAACTATAACCTCCTGGTTCATAAGTCAATGCTCAACCACTGAGCCACACCCACTGGTCTGTTTTCTGGATTTTTTTTTAAATATATTTTATTGATTTTATACAGAGAGGAAAGGAGAGAGATAGAGAGCTAGAAACATCGATGAGAGAGAGTCATCGATCAACTGCCTCTTGCACACCCCCTACTGGGGATATGCCCGCAACCACAGTACATGCCCTTGACCGGAATTGAACCCGGGACCTTTCAGTTCCCAAGCTGACGCTCTATCCATTGAGTCAAACCGGTCCTGGCTGTTTTCTGGATTTTTAACTGAGTTTCCTTTCCAATTAGTTTTTCTTACTGAATTTTCACACACACACACACACACACACACACACACACACACACACACTCACATTACAGTGGGACAAATAAAACCGACAGAGCAGTATCATTTAATACTAACTGGCATCATCTGTGCTTCTCGGCAGATGGTGCTGGTAGGTGGAAGACCTTGTCTCGGTAATGCCAACAGAGTGCGGTTCAGGGAACATTCTGACCCCACTCTCGCTTATATACTGATCATTCCACATGGCCAAAAAGTACTCTAGTTAGGAACAACTGACCCTGCCCAGGAGGCCTCCTCTGATACTGTTTTCAGAGAGGTGGAAGGGAACACAAGAGGGCTGTGGCTGTCCTCTAGCTTCTCTGCAGGCTGAAACCATCCCAGAGAGATGAGTGCTTGGCCTATTTTTAAACTCTCCAGAGAAGTAGGCTCCACAACCCCCTCTGACAACTTCTGTTTAAACTAACTTCTCCATTGCTTACTTAGTCTAAATAAACCTATTTTCATTTTATTCTACCCTGGCTGCAAAACCCCCACAGTCATTCACCCCCACAAAATCTTGTTAGAATGCTCTTCCCCAAAGGAAACTGAACCAGGCAAACCAAAAAGCCTTGGGCAAAGATCTGCTGATACCAAGATGTACAGCTGAGTTTGGACATTTCTTTTATAAAATAATTGTAATTGGATTATTGGAATCAGCCCTTCCCTCATGGAATTACATTATGTGAAACATCATGAATTTTGAAACAATGACTAAGGATTTGGGAAAGACTAGTTCTTTGACTATTTCATAGTAGGTCCTATTTCTTTAGTCTTTAATAATCTTTAGTGAATTCTTCCTTAAATTTTGCCCTCTGGCCCAGTTTTTAAATGGAGAGCCTAGACTTCTACACAGAGCTGTATAAAGCTCAGACTAACGTGGAATTGTGATGAAATGGGATGATCTCACAGGTTATACCTGTTATGCTTCTCTTACCCATTCTGATCTCGCATTATTCCTGTGTGTTAATTCAGTCTTTCTTTTTAACCACACAGCATCATGACTTCAGCTTGTTAGAAATCTATTTTAGGAACTTTCCCTACATTCTAATTTCAAGTCTCACCTGTCATGTGCTTTAGGTTACAGTTCTTTCCTAAATGTCCTACACTGCACTTTTCCATGAAGAAATAGACAATGAATATGAAAAAGGCTTCATGAGTCACCCAGATTTATGCCATTACAGGCAGTGTTATTATTATCATCAGCATTGTCTTTCTTTCTGACTCTGCGTAATTCTCAAAATAAAATTGAATCCATTATTGGTATAATTTTCAAAATTGCAATTATGATTTCATTTTCATCATTACATTCTTTGTAAAAATCTTTTCTTCCTTTGTGTAGATTTTTTCTTTCAGATATTCAAGAAACATTAAGTTCATTCACTTAAGTGTCAGTTATGTTCTGTGTTAGGCATTGCAAAGAATAATTGTTCAGGTTGTGCAATTCCAGAAGGCTCCCTGGTAAGGGCCCAGTGGCACTCAACTTCCAGCAGTGGTTGCTAAGCTTCTTGATTAGCCCACCCCCACTGCTTTCCACTTCCTTACCTCCTTTTACTGCTCACCAGCAGACAGCTGAATTGTCCTCAACTCTCAGGGTCAACTGTGGCTTGTCTCAAGCTAAAAAGGAAAAGCCCTTCAGCATTTATCTTCCTTGCTCTTTGTGGAAACATTGGACATGGCTGACTACTCTTTTCAAGGAATGTCCAGTGAAAGAATACACTGGGTTATGCCTATATGCATATATAAGTTCTTTGGTTAATCCTCCCCCCTTTCCTCTGAGGATTACTGTGATAGTCTTGATTATATTAATAATGTTTTCTGCATAACTTCAGTGAATTGACACATTAATAAAAGTAGTGTTCCTATCTGAAGAAGAAGGAGGAGACACTACACTGGGAAGGTGGAATGGCAGGACCTGATACCTCAGCCCTTAGACTCCTCTCCCTTGTGTCTCCTTGTGCCTTCTCCCTTCGTAGTCTCTCGTTTGCCTTCCAAGGTGAAAGCCAAGTGTAATTTGTGTAACCAGCAGTCAATGTGAAGTTGAGGGTAAGATATCCCTTAATGACTCCACCTCTTTCTTTTAATTCATAAAAAAGAAGTGAAAGACAGTTTATGTGCAATGTTTTTATTTTTCTGTCTTTCTGGTTGTTTAAAAAATATCATGTAATATACAGGGTTGTTTTTTGTTTTGTTTTGTTTTTTCATAGAGATTAGTTCAGTTTCCAATATCCCTTTGACTTGCCAGGTCTAAGTATGAGCATATTTATCCACTTAGCTTTCTTCACAGGCCACTGGGCCTGTGGGGGAAACGGCAGGCCACAGTGGGGATGGTTTAATAATGGTCACACCAAGCCTATACATAAGAATCTATATTCAAACATTATTAAAACCAAGCCACCAGGTAAAGTCCAACTGCAAATTGGAAGCCTTCTGATTTGGTCTTTTCTTCTATGATATGTTGAATGCTCAATTAGTAGCTGATGAATCTGGACAGAGAAGTATGTGAAATGAAAATGAGGAGAAAACAATGCTGCAACTCAGTGGAAATGTATCTGAAAGAAAGAAAAAACTGATAGGATGTAATACTTGTGAGGATTACAATGCCCTACAAATTAACGAGTTTGTTCTTTCCTTCCTTCTTAAGTCAAACATGAGAAAGCCATGGGGGGGAATGCATCGTGCTCAGGAGGAAGCCAATGTCCACTCCTAAGAAGGAGCAACTTCTCAAAATGTCCCACAGTCGTTCTATTTAGAATCGGTGTCTGCAAAATTTTAGTTGTTAATTCTAATTGTAGTTTGAAAGGATAAGAGCATCACTGTGAATTATTCACTGTTCCAAGGAAATTCATACTGAAGTTAACAGCCTAGTGGGTAAATTTATTCTTTTTAAATGACTGGTATAGTAACAACAATTTTTTAAAGTGACTTTGAAATACTTAATGCCTTTAAAATGTCATGGAAAGTGCCAATTAAGGTTTTATACAAATCCTTCCAAATTTTTATGCTGTCATCTTGGCACCATTCTTTCTGTTCAATGGCTGCATTTTAGAAGAGAAACTGTACTGTGTAGACAGAGGATTAAACAGCTTACAATATTAAGATGATTTAGAAAATGAAATAGCATGTACCCAAGAATTACTGACCCTTTTATAGCTGACAGAATTCTGGAAGCTAAAAATCTTGCCACAGAAAAATCAATCTGAAAACAACCACAGGAGAAAACTAATCATATGGAGCTGTTTAAAAAAATACTTGTTTAAAAAATTGTGGAAAACCAATCTTCATTTATGATATTTAAGCTTGTGGATATGGTGGAAAAGAGGCTGTGGAATGGTCATAACAAAAGTTATGATATATGATCATTGAATGGTTGCTCCAGCTGCCTCAATGCTATATCTTATGAATGATGCAATCAAGTTGCTGCTTAAAATTTATTTTAAATTTATAAATATTTCAATGAGATCAATCAAAAGTTCTAGTAATATAGCACATGATTTTAAAAAGGCAGACTTAAGGGTACATCTTTCTCTTCCAATCTGTGTTCAAAACTGAAAGGGGTAGCCTCCCATCTACA